CGCGCTGTGAGACGCGCTTTCTGTGTGTATGCTTCAGTCTCTGCGCTCAGAAAACGGGACCGAATTGAGTTCTCTCTTGCGTCGTCAGATTTATCCATATGTCTGCTCTTCTCTTACTCCCACATATTGACATTTTTGAACGTTTTATGCGACGGGCAGCAAATGTATTTTAGCTTATGTCCCGCCAGTTCATATGTACGCATCTAACCTCCGAACCACGGAGATTGGAACCACGCAGCAGATTCGTTCTGAATGAATCTCTTCCCAAATCGTCCCTCCCTAACATTTTCGTCTCGTTTTTATTCGTTGACGAAAATATCAATAGATTTACGTCATAGCTTTTGTCATTCAGAAAGAGTTTTAGTTCGTTATCGTAGGTGAAAAAAATATCGTTGACGAAAATTATGACGAAAATTATTCGTCAACGAAATTAACACTGATTTGAAGAAGCATTTAGACTGAATTTGGGGAAAGTAACTAATTTGTAAACTGGGTCATGTGATTCATTACAAAAACCAATTTAAAAAAAAGAATTTGCTCGCAAATTGGAAATCACGACATACAAAACCTGTATACAAGAACAAAACCTAGCCAATGAAATATTTTTTTGAAAAATATATAAATTCAACATTGAAATTTCTCTGCATTTATTAATTTTTTATGAATGATTTATATTATAAATGTAAAAATATTTGATTATTGATTAATTATTACTACAATTACCTATTTATTATTCATTCATACATGTATTTATTTTTACTGGTATTATTTAAACCAGGTTTTTCATTGCTTTCCCAGTGAAATAAATACAGTAAAACACAAAGCACAGTTTCACTTCACATTTTATTACAATCTTTCCTAGTACTTCTGCACAGATAAACATTTGCCATCATCAGTATGCAAGCTGTGGTGGGTTAATTTATTAAACCTGCCCCTTGTGACGTTTCTGTTAATGCAAAGCAGAAACCCCAGAAACAGAGTACAAATGCCATCGACACACTGCGTCTAGTGTCAGAGCAGCCGTAGGCGTCACTGGCGGGCGGAAAACAACAAACAGTGTTGAGATGAGAATGGTGGTTGTCACATTGAACGGAAGGAGAGCACTCATGAGTTTCAAACCTCAGTATGCACTTCATACGTAAAGGCGTAATTCAGATGTTATTATTAAAAAAACATGCAAAATGAAAGTGGGAGGAATAATAGTATGAAATTTTAAAAAGAAATCATGATGTATGAGAATATATAGAAAATGAAGGGCTGTCAATTTAATATTTTAATAACTTCATCTGGGGACTTTCCTTGTATTAATTTATCTTGCATTTTGAACAATTCTCCAAAATCTTTGGCATGCTCAAATGAATGATTATTCCATCTGAACATATGTGGCCATTCTTTCAGTTTAGCGAAGAATTGGGAGCAAGGGATTGTGGGAAGGGTCCCCCAAAGCTATGTACTGGGTTCGTTTTGGATTCAGTCTAAACTACGATCCTGTCTGCAAAGGTCTTATCAGAGTGTTTGTTTCCGAATCAATAGAGGGGCGCTGAAGCAAATTCTCAATGCTATATGGATGATGAACCCGCAAATATCGGCGGAGGAGGTGTGCCGATCGATAATCGCTCACATCAGAAAACGAAACAAGGATGGGCAAACAACAAAAAGGAGAAAAGAAATCCAAAGCGACAACCAGACCCTTTATTTGAATGTGACATGGCATTTGATAAGACTAGAAGTTACACTGAAGAACATTTTTCCAATTCATGAGCAGGACATCTAGTATGTACACCTCATTGTGGGTCACTTGACCCGGATCGCCCCTCAGTAGTCCAAGACCTCTATAGCACCTTGAGAAGGCGGATTGCGTATCTGTTTAATATCACCTATGACTATACGCTTAAATGTACGCCACTTCAACCTCTTGAATAAAAATGATAAATTCAGCTTTTTTTTCATCTTTCGACATTGTGTTGCAAAGATTCACCCAAAAAAAAATCACTAAAAATAACAATCATAACAACAACGGTAATCATAATAAAAAACAGACAAGGTGAATAGTATTCAATATCAACGTTTACCAAGTATGCTACAAAAACAAATAATCTGTCTGAAAACATTTTTTATCGTTGATTATAGAAGAATACATGAAGACGCGCAAATCTATCGTAACACAAATGTGTACACTAACTGAAAACTGTAGCTTCTGATGCTGCCATAATTGATTTTCTTTATACAAATATTAAACCTATATGTGACAAAAGACATTTAAATACTTGTTAAATCCCATGAGCCCAGCTAAAACTCTTCCCCCCCAACACCCCCCTCCCGAACACTTGAGTACAGAGAAAAATACCTGAAACTGTACAGATATAGACTGTCTATTTGAACTGTGACCGGGTAGCATGATGTTTTGGCTTGAGTTAGAAAAATATTTAGCACTCATTAGAGAAAAAAATCAGGTATAAATTTAACAGCACATACAGTGAATGATTATCCCATCTAAAAATGGCGGCTCTTTCCGTTTAGTGAAAGAACCAGAGCGAGGGATCGTGGAAAGGGTCGGAAGAGTGCGGCATCCCCCAAGGCTATGTACTGGGTCCATTTCGGCTTCAGTCTATAATGACACGCATGCGTCCCACGTGCACCATTCATGGGTGGGAAACTCAGATTAGCACGACAGCGAATAAATGAAACAAAGACATGCAGTGGATGAATTTAAAGTCTGTATGAAGCATTGACAAATAGCTGGTAGCGCATAACAGCGCTTCAATACATCGGCTCAACGCCATGTTCACCCTCTTCTGGAGGAAAGTCCGAGTTGAGGAGAGACTCCATGTAGGCTATGTAGCTGGAGCTGTGGGTGTAAATCTCACTGGGTTCCGGGGCAGGAAGTGTGGGTGCTGAAACAGGAAGTGATGTGGGGGGAGGCAGGCAGGGGGCAGTGCTGGTGTTTGGAGTAATAGTAGCGGGCAGGAAAGCGGTGACTATTCCTGGAGGTAGCGCCGAGGGCTCAATGGCTAGTGTGGGTGGCGGTGTCGGCAGACGTGGGCGTTTCGCGGCCAGAGGTTCGTCTGACGGTTGCGCCTGAGGTTGCTGTTGGTTCACAGTTGCCTGTTGAAAAGGAAAAAGAAGACAATAATCGTTCAGCGATGTCAGTCAGAACCCTCCAAATGGACTCCAACTGCACTGTTAGCTTGAAAAACCACGAAAGCCGTAAAATGTTAAACCTGCACTTTGACTTCACGTTGATGAATTCTGTGTGCAGAAACATACGGTACGTGGCCCGAAGCGAATAAAAGCGCTTACCAGACGAGACATGACCCTCTTAGGCAGCTCTTGGTTCAGAGAGTGAATCTCGCTGCGCTTCAGTAAGATCTGCGTCTAGAGGTTCGTCTGACGGTTGCGCCTGAGGTTGCTGTTGGTTCACAGTTGCCTGTTGAAAAGGAAAAAGAAGACAATAATCGTTCAGCGATGTCAGTCAGAACCCTCCAAATGGACTCCAACTGCACTGTTAGCTTGAAAAACCACGAAAGCCGTAAAATGTTAAACCTGCACTTTGACTTCACGTTGATGAATTCTGTGTGCAGAAACATACGGTACGTGGCCCGAAGCGAATAAAAGCGCTTACCAGACGAGACATGACCCTCTTAGGCAGCTCTTGGTTCAGAGAGTGAATCTCGCTGCGCTTCAGTAAGATCTGCGTCTCATCCTGAAATTCCACCTGGAAAGAAATACAGGCAGTTTAGACGCCTCGGATCCTTTTCTTGGAACCACTTTCCTTCATACCATCCAAGTTTAGAAAAACTAACTAGCATCATTTCCTAGCTTTTGTTTCAGTTTGCTTGGCGGCCATCTTTCTAACACTCTTGGGAAACAACTTTCCAGTTATACAAGTAGAACATAGAAAATATAAATACAAAAAAACTGTTGAAAATCTGTTAAATGTTGTTAACTAAATTAAAAAGAAAAGCAATTATATATAAATAATTTCATATTTAAATATAACACTCAATTATATATGTGTGTGTGTAAAATACATTCAAATTAAATATAATTATTATATTTAATATAAATGTATAATTATATATTAATGAATATGTGTATATACACACACACACACACACACACACACATATATATATATATATATATATA